GTGCTGCTGTTCGGCGTATTGTTTTGATGCTATTAGTGCTTGGCGTATTTTTAGTTTTTCTTAGTTCACATCTTAGATCTTATTCCTGTTTTTCTTTTACATTTTATTGTTGGATGGAACTGGGAGGACCCTGTGTACAAAATTTAACTTCACCACATGTACATACAGGGTGCACCACATGTGGTGCGCAAATAACAAATAAAGAAACTCTAAAAAAAACTGATAAACATTTACCGGTACTCATTGTATTACAAAAAAAGGCCAATATACGAAACTCCTTGTGACTTGTCTCTGAACTGCAATCTGGGACACATTTTCCAAGAAGAACTGAACTCAACCGAACCACAACTCCTTGACAGGTCCATTGTTCCAGAAAGCATCTGACATGACATTGTGTGTCAGTAGTGCCCCCCTGTTTTCTCCTGGCTGTATCGTTTCCACCACTTCAGCCTCATCAGAAATAAACATGGACATATGATAAAACGAAGTTCCTGAGGATGGAGTCGGGCCAAAAATATTGTTGTTCCTGCTCCCCTCCCTCCAAATAAAATCAATGCAAAGTGCCTGAGCAGCAGAATAAAACAGCAGCACAAGGTAAATCCCATGAGGGTGCAATGCATGCAACGTGTAAATGAATTTAGTCCACTGGTTATTTTAGCACTTCAACACCTACTGAAGCCTCAACACATATTATGCTAGCTTTCCTTAATGTTAATCAATTTAACTTCCATGTTCTCAATACACTGAGTAATGCAAGTTGACTTAAAAAAAGGTTAACAAACCAGATTAATTTTCATACATTTCAAGCCAGGCAAAATAAAAGAAAACGATGAAGACAAACAACTACAGCATGACACTACCAAAGAGTTTTCTTAAGATGACAAACAATATCTGCATAAAAAGCTAAAACCCTAACTCCCCTTTACAAACAGCACATGTATTTTTACATTTCTATCACAGACGGTGGGGGGGAGGGGTGGTTTTAAACCTGCAGTGTGAGGATATAGAACCGTAGAGAGCTGCAGATGATAAAAGAGTTGATGGGTTATGTAATGTACCACAGCTAAAGCCAGGAAAGAAACAAAGAGATGAACGCAAGTGACAACAGAGACCCAAGTCACTGGACTATAATCGCCAACAAAGACCATTACTACTTAATCTCTCTAGTATAACTGCAGCTCAAAATTACATTTGAAGCAACTAAAATGACAGAAACAAGTAATTATATAGATCTAAATGACTATTAATTTTAATTAGCAATAAAATCAAAATCAGTCCCTTCAAAACATGAACCACAAACGCACCAGACCTGTTCATCCAAACAAAACAGCATTCAGGTAGTCGGGTACCTAATAAAAAATACATGAACCCGTTAATAAGTCAGCCATGCACTGCGTAAACTGCAAAAAATAAAGCGCAACAACAAAAGCGCAGCTATCTTAACATCATTTTCTCTTCTTCTCAATACATGCACAAGAACTGCACTACTCACGTGCATGTTAGACCACTGGCAAGTTTCACTACAGCTGTATTGATGGAGAAGATCCAGTCCAAGAGCCACATGACATAAAGGATGTAAACTACAGTTTCTGGTTTTTAGAATAATAAATTTACCAAGATAAACTAAATTGTGTGAAGTTAAAGCCCTTTCAAAATCTAAAGCATCTGCTCAGGTCTGCACTCTCCTCCTCCGTCTCTCTTAAACGTACCGTGGCTGCTGCGTCCCTCCCACCACAGCAGCAACAAAAGTGCGAGTGACAAGATAGCGGGAGGGGAAGGAGCCTGAGAGTTAAAACCAGATTATATCAGGAACTGGTTCTGGTGCAGGCAAGTTGTGATGTCAGCCTAATGTACTGGTAGTTGCTGTTTATATCAGCATTGGAGATCTGGGCTACTCTCATAGCTGTCCTTCTTGTAAACAGCGGGCGTCACTACTGAGAAAACACCACAATAGGCAGAACTGCCACATGAGCAGGAAGTGCATCCCTCATACACAAACAAGATGATTTATAGGCTGTTTGCCACATTTATGAGCTTTAGCATGACTCAGTTCTTAGGACTTCTGAAGCTGTGATGTACAGTAGATACACTTTTGTCAAACGGGCAATAGCAATTTGACAGTGCCAGGTTTCTCACTCTGCAACATGAATTGCAGTCTCTAGTTGTGCTGTATCATTGTATATTCTCACTGTTGACATATATCAAACTTGTTTGCTGTACTCAATCTGTCCAGATTTAGAGGCAAAGCCTTCAGAGAGCCACCAGGCTCCTGTCCTGTAGAACCAGCTCCCAGTTTGAGTGTGCGAGTTAACCCAGTTCAAGATGGCTACCACAGCTAATCAATATCAATCAAGACAAAAATAGCTAAATCTCTGTTAAAAAAAATCTATTTAATGGTTTTAAAGCACTTAATATTGAATAAATTGTTCCGGTGCAGCATTTATTTTTAAAGATCTTAAAAATATGTATTGTCAATGAATGTATTGCTTTTTTTATACATTTCTAATCTCAATTTATCCACAAAGCATTAGAAATATCTGAAACATTAATACACTTTGCACAGATAGCACCATCTTTGTTTAGCACCACCTAATGGGCAATGGCTTGTAGGATTGTTGGGGGGGCAACTGACAGTAAAGTCAATGACGGACACAGATTATCAAGTTTAGAACAAGTTGCACAGCTTAAAAGTTTTTGTTGGTTTATGATGTACCCATTTCTAATATGAAAATACATACTTGTCAAGAGCTGTTATGCTGCTTATATGTTGGGATTGAAGCCTAAAATGATTAGACTACATACAATCGAGGCAAACCTATCTACTCATAATTCTACAAAATCTGAGTATAAAAACATCCTTCATGGCCACACATCATGTTTGACATAAGTACGATAATAATTAGTTAATATACGTTTTTGTTATAATGGTGGTAAATGCATTTTTATTGTGGTCTATAATGGTCTGCATGATGTATGTTATTGATAATAATCTGTAAACAAATGTATAGATATGTTCAGGTTTTCAGCATCACTTATTGAAATAAAGCAATAACCACCTTAATTCATACAGGGACACTGGTTATGACGGTTGGTTGACTATATGATTTCAGTTACAGGCTATAGAGTAAACAAGGTGTGTGTGTGTGCATGGGGGGGTAATTTACGTTGCAAGTAACTTGCAGGGGCCTAATCAATAACAACTTGAGGTAGTCCACTTCATATCAACATAATTTGTAATATTTAGTGGCCAAAATGTTCTGTAGACAGGGAAACTTTATACGTGGCCAAGATTGCTGTAAACCACATCAACACTAGACCAGATAACATTAGACCTATACTT